GAATTTATGGGGGAAAGAGAAGTCTTCTGGGCTAGCCCAGCAAGAAGCTCCTAGTTCTGAAGGAAAAGTGGCTCTCCAGAAGCTTGGGGAAGGTAGCTGTTTGGGTCGCCCAGAGCTGTGGCCATCTCTGCCAACCTCAGTGACCGCAGGATGGGAACCAGGAAAAAAAAATTGTTCTATTCATTCTTCCACCTCTGACCAGCCTGGGCCAGAAGCCAGGGGTGGGTCAGTGGAGCCTGTCGACAGTCTACATAGCACCCTCTCCCAGGCAAGGAAGTACGTAGTTCGCAAATATCTACCTACCACATGAGGCAGAGCCACACATATTGTTAATAATGTAAGGACTGGAGCTTTTTTTTTTTTTAGGCAGGGAAGAGGAATAAACAAAACCCTGGAATAAAAGAGGAAACAAGTACCTAGAGAAGAAACTGCTTTAATAATGTTGAACTTTGTAGAGCAGAGACTAGATTAGGAGTGGAGTGATAGATGTGTGAGGGAAGCAGGGAGAAGAAAGGTAATGATGGTAGTTCTCTGTAAGCAGCAGGAGTGGCAGGGCTGGTATGTGGACTTCAGGCCATTGAGCGTACAGCCTCTGAGTTGTGGAGCTTGCTGGTCCACTCCGACAGCCTTCTGAAACTGCTCAGGAATGCCACGAGTGAAGATACACTGAGAGAAGCCCTTTTTCCCAAGTATATACACAACTTTCTTAGTATTATTCCTTTGAGTGCCAGGTTTTCTTTACTACATTTATATTTATTCAAAAGGAAGATAGTCAAACATTTGTCACTCTTAATCACTCACTTTAAAACTGATTGTATTGATAGTTTTTTCCCTAATAGAGTGTATTAGAAAGATTTTTATTAATAGTTGAAAAAACCAGAAATTTCACCAAATACATGGAATTATAATTTTTAAATTGCTTTTGTACTTGTTTTCCTTAATTGCTTTGCTTGGAACTACTAAGAAGGATCAAACTTGGAACTACTTTCAGGTATTCAAAAACTTCCTGGTATCTTGCTGAAGATTCTTGGTTGGGTATGTTTCTTTTCTTCTGCCTTATAAATCATGACACTAGGGATAAGGGCACCAGATGTTGGCACCTACAAGGAAGGGCTGAGAATAGCCCGCAGGAGGAACACTGGGCCTGACCTGTTTTCCCGTCTGAATGTGGTGCATGTAGTAATGAAGGTACAGACACATCTGACTCCTCAGTGACTCTTATTTACAAAAAACTCAAGAGCAAGTGGCAGCATTGTTTACATACTTAGATCTTCAGGAATTTGATTTTTATTTGCAGAAGAGTTCACTAAATATATAAAATATTTCAAGATTAGCTCTGGAGGAAGCATCTCATTAGTGTAAACTGTCAGATTTGGTCTTTTTGTTCAGCTTAACTCATCAGCCTTTCATCCTCTAGAAAAGACCGCTGACACTTAAAATCTCACCTAGAAACCCACCACAAACAGAAGCAACATGTGCACGGGCAGAATTATTTTGACAGTTGTAGAACAGGAGGTGAAGAAGCAAGAAGTAGGCACTGGTGAGAGGGAGTGTAAAAAGAGCAAGGGCCATGTGCGGGGCACCGTATCTGACCTTTATCAACTTCACAGAGGGCAGCTGTCCCCGTCCACAACATCAGCAGCGAAAAACAAATTCACATGGCTCCCATGCTCCTGTGCCCCTTTCTACTCCTCTCACCAGTGTGGTAGCACACAGACCACACAGAACAGAACAGAGCCACATTGTGTGAGTCAAAGTGTTAGAATTCAGATTCATAACAGAATACAGTTAAGGCAGCTCCCAAAATATGCATGTAAGCACCTTAGCCTTGAGGCATTCCCAAGTTCTTAGTCCTGCCAGTATTGGCTTCTGTCCCCTAGATGTCCAGCAGAGTTCTCAGTCCTGCCAATATTGGCTTCCTCCCACCCCACTAAAGACCCATCTCCATTCTCCAGTTCAATCATTGCTGTTGCTGCTGCCGCCATCTTGAAGTGTGTCCTACATTTTACCAGGTTTGGGAGGCCTCTCTTCTCTGGCTGGGGAACAAATCCATCTCTTCTGGTGGAGGAAGATTTCATCGCTGCAGCTAGAGCTCTTCAACTTAATGATGAGACTGGCCAGTCCCCTTGTAGATTGTTGAGACTGGCCAGTCTCCTTATGGAATGGTAGATAGCTAATCCCCTTGTGGATAAAGGTCAACACATCCCATTCACATACTCCCTTCCATCTGCATAACAACGTCGGAGAAGGGTTAGAAAAATCATACTGAAGAGAAACTCCGTAGGGAGGCAGAGGAGGGACTTGGTATTTTAAAGCCTGACCTCTGATAGAGTAAGTGGTAGCTCTTGACTAAGGACAGAGACTACATCCTCCAGGTAGTGTCAGAAATGTAGCTTGGGGGACAGGCTCCACTGTACTGTTCTGGAGTCGTGTTGACCAAGAACATGGAATCTAAAAGACTCTCCAAGAGTTAATGCATCTGTAAAAATAAGGTTGATGTAGTGAGGAATGAGTTAATGTGGTAGGATAATATCAAGCTTTATGTAATATCCATTCAGATCCTTCTTATTGTCCATATAATTCTGTTGTCCATCAGATTTATGGGAGCAAAGAACACAGCAGTCTTTTCAATTTGAAGGTTATTTATACTTGGCTCTTTAGAGTTGGGGTCATTTGACAGTTATCAAATTAAGAGCTTTTAGATCATCACCTTTCGCGATGAGCCATGGTTTACTGTGAAGTCTTCCTTGGGGTCTTATGGGGACCCGAGTTGGGTTTTCCCCTCCTCTGGACCCAGAAGATGTATGAGCAGAGTCCGTTACGTTCTGTAGCTCTGCTTTTGAATCATGCTTTTTGAGTTTCCTGCCATCCTCCTAGTCCACTCCTTCACATATCCCTGAATGTGCAAGTTCTAGCTGGAGTCACCAGAGCCAACCTCCTAGTTCCAGTGGGAAAAAGGTGAGCTGTTCTTCTGTAAAGATTCATAGCCTTGAAAACCCTAAAGAGAGGCTCTGTTCTGGCCTACAGGGTTGCTGTGAATCAGAATCCACTTGATGGCAATGGACTTGGTTTTTGGGTTTGGTTTACACACCTAGCTGGTATGTGCTCCTTGCTGTCTTAATGACGTGAAGATTGGAGAACACACCTAAGCCTGGCTCTCCTGGACCTTACATTCTAATGGGTGAGATGCAGTAAATGAGTGGCATATATATTGGGGATAAATGCAAGGAAGAAAATGAAGACGAAGAGGTCGAAGAGATGAAGAGTACTGAGGAAACCCTGAAAAACAAACATTGCTGTCACATGCATTCCATCCATCAGCGTTTGTATAGGACAGGGTACAACTGCCCCTGAGAGTTTCCAAGACTAGACTTTATGGCAGCTGACCTTTCAGAGCTTAATATTGCACCACTCGAGCTCTCAACAGATCAGAGGAGGGTCGTGATTTGCTGTTTTAAATTGGATGGTCAGAAGGCCTTACCAGTCAGGTGCTATTTGCCGGGTAAGGGATGAGCATCTGGTGAGAGTATGTCTGGGTAGGAATGTGGTGGGCCACTCCAGGACCCAGGACGGGGTGGGGGTCACAGAGGCCACAGGGAATGGCTTCTCACTAACTAAAATTAGTTATTGAAATAGAAAATTGAAATAAGATGGCATATATTAATTACTTCTTAAAGAACCACTGACTTACCCACAGGCAACTCCATATTCCACTCCCCCAAGAGAGGACTAAGGAACAAACTACATAAAATGTGTAGGGAAAAGGTTCCGTTAGTAACTCGCCAAACCCCATGCGTGTTTTACATCATCTCTTACACAGTTTCAGAGTCATTTAGCCAGTTTTCCTTTGTCCTATTATTTCTGAACCCAAGAACAAACCCAAGCAATAGACAACATGAAAATCTGCTCTTCGTAAATTGCTTTGAAAGGAAGGCTGAATTAGCAAAGGTGTGCAGCAAGATGTTGGCTCAGTCGGAGGACTTGGAGAAGAGTCTCTCCAGGAACATCATCTTTTGGATGGCAAATCAAACCCATATCCGTGTGAAATGTACTGGAACTTCTAGCCGCTGCTACTCCAGCCTTTTGTACCCAGGGACTGGGGTAGTGTGGAGAGGGGCTCCTTGGCCACAGTAATTGGTAGGAAGAGGTTGGCTCCACGTCAGTGTGTTGACTGTAGAGAGCATAAGGAACCTCCATAGGTGATAAAGGTTGACTGTCCACAATCACGGTAATTACAGTAAACCAAAAATTACATGTGTTTGGCTGTCAGGCCCCTTCTCTTTCTCAGGAGAGGGTAGGGAATGCCGGACAGCTGGTGATGTAACAGGCTCATTTTTGTTTGAGTTTTAGTTCATTGTTCAGTCCTAAAGATGAAACAAAAGAAATGAAATGTTCTCACTTCTTCCTCAGAGTAACTGGAAGACATGGAGTGGGGGGTTGTTTGTTTTATTTTTCGTTGTTGTTAGGGTAGAGGTTTACCCTAGAACAAATTGATTTTTCATTTAGCAGTTGATATACATACATACATTTTTGTTTTGTGACATCGGTTATAATCTCTCAGTGTTACAGCACTCTTCCTACTCCCTCCCTGGACTCGCTGCTTCCATTCCTCTTTTCCTTCCCCTTGTTACTTTCTCGGCTTTGTTTTTGAGCCAATAATGAAAAACTTACAGAGTAATAATAGCCCCATAGCTTAACCCCATGAAATTGTGGGCCCCACTTATCTATATTGATGTCATATTGAATTTTTATTTACCATAAGTGTTTCTTGTCATTCCCAGAGACTTCTGCCTTACCTTTCATCTTAGGAATGAATAGGGTCAGGAATAACGGTGATGGATTTCAGGCCAGTGCACTTCATCTGGGCATCTGAACTGTCTTGCTCCTTCACCACCAGCCCTGGTCTTATTTGTGCTCAGGAGATGCTTGTCTAATATTTTTCTTTCTCTTCTTCCCATTTCCAGGAGGGCTGTTGGCCTGCCGCTGTGCTGCTGAACAGTATGCAGTCCTTCCGGGAGCAAAGCAGTTACCACGGAAACCAGCAGAGCTACCCGCAGGAGGTCCACAGCTCATCCCGGCTGGAAGAGTTCAGCCCTCGCCAGGCCCAGATGTTCCAGAATTTTGGCGGTGGAGGTGGTGGTAGTGGTGCCAGCAGCAGTAGCAGTGGTGGACGACGAGGAGCTGCAGCTGCAGCAGCAGCAATGGCTAGCGAAACCTCTGGCCATCAGGGCTACCAGGGTTTCCGAAAAGAGGCTGGAGATTTTTACTACATGGCAGGCAGCAAAGACCCCGTGGCAACAGGAACCCCACAGCCACCTCAGCGGCGGCCTTCTGGACCTGTGCAGAGCTACGGACCCCCCCAGGGGAGCAGCTTTGGCAATCAGTACGGGAGTGAGGGTCACGTGGGCCAGTTTCAAGCACAGCACTCTGCTCTTGGTGGTGTGTCCCATTATCAACAGGATTACACAGGGCCTTTCTCTCCAGGGAGCGCCCAGTACCAGCAGCAGGCATCCAGCCAGCAGCAGCAGCAACAGCAAGTACAGCAGTTGAGACAGCAGCTTTACCAATCCCATCAGCCTCTGCCCCAAGCCACTGGCCAGCCAGCATCTGGCTCATCACACCTGCAGCCAATGCAGCGGCCCTCAGCTCTGCCATCTTCTGCTTCCGGTTATCAGCTACGAGTGGGTCAGTTTGGCCAGCACTACCAGTCTTCTGCCTCTTCCTCCTCCTCCTCCTCTTTCCCTTCACCGCAGCGTTTCAGCCAGTCTGGACAGAGCTACGATGGCAGTTATAGTGTGAATGCCAGTTCCCAGTATGAAGGCCATAACGTGGGTTCTAACACACAGGCTTATGGAACACAATCAAATTACAGCTATCAGCCTCAGTCTATGAAAAATTTTGAACAGGCAAAGATTCCACAAGGGAATCAGCAGGGGCAGCAGCAGCAACAGCAACCCCAACCCCAACAGCAACAGCAGCAGCAGCAGCAGCAGCACCCACCTCAGCACGTGATGCAGTACACCAACACTGCCACCAAGCTGCCCCTGCAGAGCCAGGTAGGGCAGTACAGCCAGCCCGAGGTCCCTGTGCGATCCCCCATGCAGTTCCATCAGAACTTCAGCCCCATTTCCAACCCTTCTCCGGCTGCCTCCGTGGTCCAGTCTCCAAGCTGCAGCTCTACTCCATCTCCTCTGATGCAGAGCGGGGAGAATCTCCAGTGTGGGCAAGGCAGTGTGCCCATGGGCTCCAGAAACAGAATTTTACAGTTAATGCCTCAACTCAGCCCAACCCCATCAATGATGCCCAGTCCAAATTCCCATGCTGCAGGCTTCAAAGCGTTTGGACTGGAAGGTGTGCCTGAAAAGCGGCTGACGGATCCTGGCTTGAGTAGCCTGAGTGCCCTGAGTACACAGGTGGCCAATCTCCCCAATACTGTCCAGCACATGTTACTTTCGGATGCCCTGACACCTCAGAAGAAGACCTCCAAGAGGCCTTCCTCATCTTCTAAGAAAGCAGACAGCTGCACAAACTCTGAAGGTTCCTCACAGCCTGAAGAACAGCTTAAGTCTCCCATGGCAGAGTCGTTGGATGGAGGCTGCTCCAGCAGTTCTGAGGATCAAGGTGAAAGAGTGAGGCAGCTTAGTGGCCAGAGCACCAGCTCTGATACCACGTACAAGGGTGTCTCCTCCGAGAAAGCCAGCTCTTCTCCAGCACAAGGTGCTCAGAACGAGCCACCCCGCCTCACTGCCAGTCCTGCAGCAAGAGAAGAGACTGCCTCGCCAGGTGCTAAGGACACTCCCTTCTCATCCGAGGGCAACCCAAAAGTCAATGAGAAGACAGTTGGAGTGATTGTCTCCCGGGAAGCCATGACAAGTCGGGTAGAAAAGACTGGTGGACAGGATAAGGGCTCCCCAGAGGATGACCCTGTGGCCACTCAGAGGCCCCCTAGCACTGGGGGGGCAAAGGAAGCTAGCCATGTAACACTTCCCCAGCCAGAGCCTCCAGGAAGCGGGAGCAAAGGAAACAAGAACGGAGATAATAACTCCAACCACAATGGAGAGGGAAATGGCCAGAGCAGTCATTCTGCAGTGGCCTCTAGTTTTACAGGCAGAACTGAGCCAAGTAAATCTCCTGGGAGCCTACGCTATAGCTACAAAGACAGCTTCGGGTCAGCCATGCCACGAAATGTCAGTGGCTTTCCTCAGTATCCCACAGGACAAGAAAAGGGGGATTTCTCTGGCCATGGGGAGCGAAAAGGTAGAAATGAGAAGTTCCCCAGCCTCCTACAGGAGGTCCTTCAGGGTTACCACCACCACCCTGACAGGAGGTATTCTAGAAGTGCCCAAGAGCACCAGGGGATGGCTGCTGGCCTGGAAGGAGCCTCAAGGCCCAATGTCTTAGTCAGTCAAACCAATGAGTTAGCTAGCAGGGGCCTCCTGAACAAAAGCATAGGTTCCCTATTAGAAAACCCCCACTGGGGCTCCTGGGAAAGGAAATCAAGCAGCACAGCTCCTGAAATGAAACAGATCAATTTGGCTGACTATCCGATTCCCAGAAAGTTTGAAATAGAGCCTCAGTCGTCAGGACATGAGCCTGGGGGTTCTCTCTCTGAAAGAAGGTCGGTGATCTGTGACATATCTCCACTAAGGCAGATTGTCAGGGACCCAGGAGCTCACGCCCTGGGGCACATGGGTGCCGACACCCGAATGGGGAGAAGTGAACGTCTCAATCCAAGTTTAAGTCAGTCAGTCATTCTTCCAGGTGGTTTAGTGTCCATGGAAACAAAGCTGAAATCCCAGAGTGGCCAGATTAAAGAGGAAGACTATGAACAATCCAAATCCCAGGCTAGTTTCAATAATAAGAAATCTGGAGACCACTGCCATCCCGCCAGCATCAAGCACGAGTCCTACCGAAGCAATACCAGTCCTGGAGCAGCAACCCACGATTCCCTCTCAGACTATGGCCCGCAGCAAGAGAGCAGACCCACACCGATGCGACGGGTCCCAGGCAGAGTTGGTGGTCGGGAAGGGATGAGAGGTCGGTCTCACACTCAGTATCACGACTTCTCAGAAAAATTGAAGATGTCTCCTGGGAGGAGTAGAGGCCCGGGGGGAGACCCTCATCACATGAACCCCCACATGGCCTTCTCAGAGAGGGCCAATAGGAGCTCACTGCACGCTCCCTTTTCTCCCAACTCAGAAAGCCTGGCCTCTGCTTATCATGCAAATGCTCGGACTCATGCTTACGGGGACCCTAACGCAAGCTTGAATTCTCAGCTCCATTATAAGAGGCAGATGTACCAGCAGCAACAAGACGAGTACAAGGACTGGAGCAGCAGCTCTGCTCAGGGGGTCATTGCCGCTGCCCAGCACCGGCAGGAGGGGCCACGCAAGAGCCCAAGGCAGCAGCAGTTTCTTGACAGAGTCCGGAGCCCCCTGAAAAATGACAAAGATGGTATGATGTATGGCCCCCCAATGGGGACTTACCATGACCCCAGTGGTCAGGAGGCTGGACGCTGCCTCTTAGCTAGTGATGGTCTACCCAGCAAAGGCATGGAATTGAAGCATGGCTCTCAGAAGTTGCAACAAGAGTCCTGTTGGGATCTTTCCCGGCAGAATTCTCCAGCCAAAAGCAGTGGTCCTCCCGGAATGTCCAATCAAAAGAGGTATGGGCCGCCCCATGAGACCGATGGACATGGACTCGCTGAGGCCACACAGTCGTCCAAACCTGGCAATGTTATGCTAAGACTTCCTGGCCAAGAGGATCATTCTCCTCAAAACCCATTAATCATGCGGAGGCGGGTCCGCTCTTTTATCTCTCCCATTCCCAGTAAAAGACAGTCCCAAGATGTGAAGAACAGCTCTGAAGAGAAAGGGCGTCTCCTTCCCCCATCGAAAGAAGGTATAGATAAAGCTTTCAATTCCTATGCCCACCTTTCTCACAGCCAGGATATCAAGGGTATCCCTAAGAAGGAGTCCTCCAAAGACCTCACAAGTCCAGATAATAGAAATTGCCCTCCCGTTCCCCTCACGAGCCCTGCTAAGACCAAAATACTGCCGCCGCGCAAAGGACGAGGATTGAAGTTGGAGGCAATCGTTCAGAAGATCACATCCCCAAATATCAGGAGGAGTGCGTCTTCAAACAGCGCTGAGGCTGGGGGAGACACAGTGACCCTTGACGACATCCTGTCTCTGAAGAGTGGACCTTCTGAAGGCGGGAATGTTGCTGTCCAAGAAGTTGAGATGGAGAAGAGAAAAGGTGAGGTGGTGTCAAACCTCATCAGCCCAACAAACCAGGACTTGAGCATTGAAAAGCCCCTTTCGAGGTCCTCGGAAGAGTGGCGTGGCAGTGGGGACGACAAAGTGAAGACAGAGGCACATCCAGAAACAGTTACCACTGGAAAAGAACTCCCTGGTGCCATGGCATCCGCAGTGTCACAGAAGCCCGGTGGTAACCAAGGGCGACCAGATGGTTCCCTGGGTGGGACAGCACCTTTAGTCTTTCCTGACTCCAAGAATGTATCTCCAGCCGGCATACTGGCTCCGGAGGCAAACCCCAAGGCTGAAGAGAAAGAGAGCGATACAGTGACGATTTCCCCTAAACAAGAATGTTTCCCTCCAAAGGGTTATTTCCCATCAGGAAAGAAGAAGGGGCGACCCATTGGCAGCGTGAATAAACAAAAGAAGCAGCAGCCGCCACCTCCCCCTCCTCAGCCCCCTCAGATACCGCAGGGTTCTGCCAATGGAGAGCCGAAGCCAAAAAAGCAGAGGCAGAGGAGGGAGAGACGCAAGCCAGGCGCACAGCCACGCAAGCGGAAAACCAAACAAGCTGTGCCCATCGTAGAACCCCAAGAACCCGAGATCAAGCTGAAGTATGCCACCCAGCCCCTGGACAAAACCGATGCCAAGAACAAGTCCTTTTTCCCTTACATCCATGTAGTCAATAAGTGTGAACTTGGAGCCGTTTGTACAATCATCAATGCTGAAGAAGAACAGACCAAATTGGTGAGAGGCCGGAAAGGTCAGAGGTCACTGACCCCTCCGCCCAGCAGCACCGAGAGCAAAGCGCTCCCAGCGTCATCCTTTATGCTGCAGGGGCCTGTTGTGACAGAGTCTTCTGTTATGGGGCACCTGGTTTGCTGTCTGTGTGGCAAGTGGGCCAGTTACCGGAACATGGGTGACCTCTTTGGACCCTTTTATCCCCAAGATTATGCAGCCACTCTCCCGAAGAATCCGCCTCCTAAGAGAGCCTCGGAAATGCAGAGCAAGGTTAAGGTACGGCACAAAAGCGCTTCTAACGGCTCCAAGACGGACACTGAGGAGGAGGAGGAGCAGCAGCAGAAGGAGCAGAGGAGCCTGGCTGCCCACCCCAGGTTTAAGCGGCGACATCGCTCAGAAGACTGTGGCGGAGGCCCTCGGTCACTGTCCAGGGGCCTCCCTTGTAAAAAGGCAACCACCGAGGGCAGCGGCGAAAAGACTGCTTTGGACTCAAAACCCTGTGCGCCCACCACTTCGGAAGGTGGCCCTGAGCTGGAGTTACAAATCCCTGAACTACCTCTAGACAGCAATGAATTTTGGGTCCATGAGGGTTGTATTCTCTGGGCCAATGGAATCTACCTGGTCTGTGGCAGGCTCTACGGCCTGCAGGAAGCCCTGGAAATAGCCAGAGAGATGGTGAGTACCAGAATCCATTCCCCATTTACTCCTCTACATTTGTTTACTTCATTTTGGTTCCGTTTCTTCTGCCTTGTGTTATTTAGCTCTGTAGTATCATCTGATTATTTATGGATACACAGCCTTTACCTGCTAGTAGCCTAGTGGGTCGGTAATACACTCTCCTTTCATGATTTGCAACCTCCACAAACCCACTGGAGGGTCGGCAATGAGTCAGTACCAACTCCACAGCTATAAGAAAGAGAAGTTTACCCTGAGGCTGTATTGCAAATGAAGTAGTAGTTTGGAAGATTTTAGTGGTCTGTCCTTTGTAGATGGGGTCACTATGAGTTGTAGTTGACTGGACGGCACCTAACAGCAACATATCTTGCCCATATTTGCCAAAGTTGCAGTATTTAGTAAGTTTTTTTATTTGTTGGGGTTTTTTTGGTAGGGAAGGGTGAGAGAGAGAATGTCCATCCAGCCATCCGCCAGTATATTCATTTCAACATAGAATATTAATGTTTTTGTGTAATTTTTGCGTGTAATCTTTGGTGCATTCATAGCAGCATTTGGTAACCTGTAATCAACAGGCTACACCTAGCACAAATCCCTAGAGATTGTATCCTCACCCAAGTTCAGGTTAACAGAGATAAACAGCACCAGGTAATGTTGAAACCACTAGGTCTGCTTTGGTTTTTTTTGGTGGGGGGTGTGTTGTGTGTGTGTGTGTTTGTGTGCGCGCGCCATCAAATCAGATCTGACTGGTACAGGAGGAGATTGTTCCTCCTTCTTCAGCAGAGCATCTGGTGGATTCGAACCGCACACCTGCGGGATTGCAGTGCAGCTTCTTGCCACTAGGCCACCAGAGCTCGCCTCGGTCTGCGTTTTTAAATGCGTAATTTGGAATTTTTGTCTTCAGAAAGTGATGGTTTATTCCTACTGTTTGTCCCATTTGATAAAAAAAAAAATCTAAAATGTTAAAATGGGAGTAAAGATATTGGATATGGTTCAGCAACTGATTGTGCACTTCGTGTGGGGAACCTTAGAAAGTATCTTTTTTAAAAAATATTAGTTATGGTCTCAAATGTTGAAAAGTATGTCAAATTATTTTTAGGCTCCAAAAAATAAAAAAGTTGTAATGTTTTCTTAAAAGGAAGTTTTGTAAAGAATGGGGGGGGGGGGCATGTGTCACGAACAGCTCACAGAGGGCAACTCTATTGCTCTATGTGCGAAATCGACATCAAGAGATTTCCGAAGTGTAGTTTTTGTTTCCTGGACGGCTGGTGATCGTTGGTCACAGAAGGGGGGAAAAAAGGTAGTTTTGACTCTAAACGGCTTCTCTGCAGTTGCTGTTGTGCGGAGCTGTCCAGTCTAGCATCCACATGTGACAGTAGCACTGCCCTGTGGTTTTCTCCACCACAGTCTTTGGAGACAGCTCACAGGCCTTCTACCAGAGAGCTGCTGTGTGGCCTCAAGCCCTCTTGGCTCACAGGCAGTCGTGTTAGCTCTCTAGTGCAACTGTTAACAGTGGGTGACTTGAACAGCTTAGGAGCCTAGAAATTCAAATTCCAGACACTGGCTTTCTCTTTGTTGACTCTGGGTTAGAAGGTCCTTGTTGATTGGTTCCTCAATGACTGTCATGAAATATGACATCTGACTTTCCTCCCTCTGCTTGTTTAATTTCATTTTTATCTCAAAGAAACTGATTTAAGATACACTCTAAACTGATGTCTCAACATAACAAAGAAAACTTACGTCCAAAAGGGATTGTAAGCACAGGTATGAACCAAAGTGCTCATAGCAGTATCTCTGTAGCATAGAGTAGAACTGCCTCAAAGGATTTTTAAGCCTGTAAAACAATACTTCATCTTTCTCACACAGATGTGTGCAAACTTCTAACCTTAGCAGACAAGTACTGTGCCACCAGGCCTCCCTGACAGGTATAAGACAGACTCAAACCCATTGCCATCAAGTCAAAACTAAGTCATAGTTGACCCTTCAGCGGGTTTTCAGAGGCTGTAAATCCCATTTTTCTTCCTCAGAGCTGTTGGGAGACTCAAACTGACTGCTTTTGACAGCACAACTCCTTACCTGTAGGTCACCAGAGCTCCAACCCACAGGTATAGGAATTTAGAACACGTATTTTTGACAACACAGTTCTATCTTGACAGCTCTGGAGAGTTTAACTGTTAATCCACCAGGGCTCCTTCTCTGTATAGTCAAGACTCTAGGTTTCCCATTTTGAACTCTGCAGGACTCTTTCAAGGCATCATCTCCCTGGATAGCAGACTTAAGAACACTTAACAGTTGCCTAGTCTTAAATAAATCTCCTACTGCAGCTTTAAGCTTATTACCTCACATTGTACCATTTTGTTTATTTATGCCCTCTTTAGAAACCGAATACTAGCTCTGTATATTGAACTTCATTTTTTAAAACACTTGGACATCTGTTTTGTTTCCATACTCAATCCCGTGAGATGGGAAAGTAGGGGCTTTCCTCTCAGTGCCATCAGAATAAAGACGACTTTGTGGAAGAGGACTTGGAGTGACACACACTTTCAGTTAGTGTAGTCCAGCAGTGTATTGATTTTAGAGTTAAGATGGTGTAAAAAGTTAAACAGCTCAATGCTTTGCACTAATGTTCCACAATGATTGTAAAATTTTCAGCTTTATTTATTTATTATTATTTTAAAAAGTGTATTCAAGAGCAAATTACCAGCTTGCTTTCTTTAATTTGATAGATGAGGTTTCAATTTGTGAAGGTCATTTTGAGTCTAGTTTTATTTTCAGTCTTGATTTACTTCATGAACTTGCATTCAATTCTATCACCTAAGATAAGGTCACATATATTTCATTAGAGATTCACTCTGGCCTGTGTATTTATCAGGTGTTTTGACAAGCATGGTATTATAACAAAATCCTATGAAGTTCTCAAGTGGCAGTGCGTCCTCTTATCTTGGTCATAATGCTCTGAAACTTACTGAAGCCCAAGCATCCAGTATAAAAAGAAGAGCCTTCACTCCCCTTGGGCATGTGAATTCATTCTCTTCTGCCCCGTCCCTGAATGATGTCCAGTCTTGGACTTTGCTGAGTTGTACCCAAGAAACCAGAGCAAGATTTCTAATTCTAAACACAGATGCATAACTTGGTACGGTAAAAGTCTGCAAAAAGCTATAGCTGTTTAAGGCAGAAATCTGTCGAAGAAGGAAGACTCTGATACCTTCTACTAAAACATTCAAGAAATAGTAAGTCAAGCAATCCCAGAGGTACGTGGTTCGAATCCACCAGATGATGTTTTGCTGGAGAAGGAGGGGCAATCTCCTCCTGTACCATTCAGATCCGATTTGACAGTACACACAAAAAAATAATGAAATAATTAAAAAAAAAAAAAAGTAGTAAGTCCAAAACTTGTCAGAGGCAGAAATGTTTTGAGATGTGATAAAACAAGGTGTTCCATCTAGTTGTACCTCTCAGAGGTTTCATGGTATCTTCAAATCATGTTCAGTACATTCAGGAGAGCAAAGGCCTGCAGAATTATGGCGAGAACTCTGGTGACCCGGCCTCTGAGAACATCCCTTGAGACTCATACCCTGGGCGGTCTCCTCCCTACATGGAAGAGCTGGCCCGTGCCTGGCTCTTCCTTCCACCAACACTTAGGCTAGAAGCACCCATTCAAATATATTTTAGCCAACCTTTAAGAGAATCTTTAGTTTCCTCTCTTTCCTACAGTTCGTATTAAAACTGGTTTTATGCTATTTTTTTCTTTACTTTTAAGTCTATGTATTAAAGGTTATATTCTAAAGAGAAGAGCACTGATGGCCTAGTGGATAAGGAGTTGTGCTGCCACCCCAAAGACATGTGTTTCGAATCCGCCAGCTGCTCTGAGGGAGAAAGATGGGCAGTTTCCTCCCTTGCGATTTACAGCTTCTGAAAACCTGCTGAAGCATCAGCTGTGAGTCTGTTCTGACTCGGTGGCACATAATACCACCAGCCACCATTCTAAAATTTATTATCAGTACAGTTTAAAAATCAAGATTATTAACTTCACATTTGACAGTTCCCCATCTTTCATTTAGAGATTGTCAAGAAAAGCATGATCTGAAAATATAATCATATACAGTTAATTACATTAGTTATACTATGGTATGACTTCCTCATAAAACCTTCAAAGCAGACAGGTTAGCTGGTTGCTCTAGTTATCTGTAAAATAAAGACGTTATCTTGGATTCTTTCTGAATTTCCATCTGTTTTGTACAGCTTTGTTGCTTGGTCTTCAGCCCACACAAGGATCGGTTCTGCTGTCAAAACTCCCTTTTCGCTCTGGCCTTCATGCCCCTGGGCCTCTTCCGGGGTTTCCCTGATTTCCCTCTGTCTTCCCCCTCCCCAGTTCTTGCCACTTCTCTCTCAGTCCCACCCTTCACCTCTCTGGCACATTCTCACTCGTTATCAAAGAACATTATTCTGCCAAGGCCTGTCTGCCTTCACATATTCTAAAAGGGCAAAGCTTGTTCATCTATATTCTACTTAATGCTCCTCCTAGCTACTAGCAAAGCTTGGCAGTTCAGACTCGCCCAGCGGGACCCAGAGGAGCCTGGAAAGTCACCGCCTCAGAAACTCTTCAGAGCAGTTCTGCGATGCACATGGTTTTACCTTGAGTCAGAGTCAACTCTGTTGTAGTTTACAAATGTGGGACAGGAAATTGTGATGATTCTCTTTTTTTTAAAAAAAAAAAAACCTCCAAAATAACTCTTAACCTATGTAGCTCACTGCAACCCCAAAGGCATGCAGTTCATATACATCAAGTGCTCTGCAGGAGAAGAGTACACAGTCTCCTCCCATGCAGTTCACTGACTAAAAATCCTCAAAGAGAGTCTGCTAGCTATGAGTTGGATTTGACTCTACGGAACACAACAACTTGTGTGGCACTTGTGTTTATATCACTTCATGGTGACATTGAGACCATACCTCTGAAGAAATGGTTCCTTTTCAGTATACCGTTTTCAAGATTCTAAGGCTTA